GGCAACACACATAATCAAATGTAGAAGAACAAAAAACTATAATGCAATAATTATGTCTGTTTAATCTTTTTTTTGCGGGATATGTCTGTTTAATCATAACTTGTCAATAAGATTAACATACTGATATATGTGAAGTTTTGCGATATAACTCACTGTGATATCTTCAAATAGTTTAGTATGAAAACAAAGTTTTTACTTTAGTATATTATCAACTATGATGGAGTCACGTCTTTACTGCTTTCGTAGCCAAATCACATTGCAGATGACATCAACTCTCTATGCTATTCAGTCTGTTATAATTAATTGTTAATCCACTGAAGTAAAAAAAAAAACTTTGTTTTCGCACTAACCTATTTGAAGATGTCAAAATGAGCTGTGTTTCATCTATGTAACCCTAAGCGAATCCTAAGCCTAATGCACGCAAAACTTGCGTCTGAATGTGCTCGATTTCCCATGGAAGTTTACCACCAAACCCTAGAAAAACTTATGAACATGCAAAATTCGAGAACAAAGGGAGGCGGGGGGAGAGGGAGGACAAAAGGATACAGCCTGAGGAGGATGCCGCTCTCCTGGATGAGGTCGCAGCCGTAGACGCGGAGGGTCGTCTCGGCGGCCTCGTCGATCCCATCCTTCCGCGACGGCGACTCGCGCAGCTGCTCGTCCGTGAGGTAGAACGTGTCGATCGCCGTGTAAATCATGTCTCCCACTGCTCACGGCGTCCAATCGGGGCAGGACCCGCCCGGCCGGGGCGGCGCGCCGTGGCGGCTGGGGGTAGGGGGAGGCCCCGGTGAGATGGCCGGCGGCTGAGGGGAGGCGAGGTGAGGCGGCGACGGAGGTAGGGGCGGGGAGGAGGCTGGGGGAGCTCGGGGAGGGAAGAAGGCGACGGCGTGCGAGCGGGGGGTTGGCGGCGGCGTCGCGCGATAGGGAGGACCGGGGTGGAGACCTCGCCCCTCGAGGAAAGGGGATGGGATCGGCTGGGGTGGCAATTTTGCGGTAATTTTGCTGAATCACCAGGGATACTTCGGGCTTGCGATATCGAAATCGAAGCGATCGGCCTTCGCGCAATCACGCTGTACATTGGTCGGCTGAGTAAAAATTGACACTCCTCAAAAAAAAAATACAGACTTGCCTTTTCCGGAACTTTAAAACGCACAAATATACGGGTTAAAAATATTTTTTTAAATGACCCTTTTTCATGATGTCTGTGGCATCATATTGAATGACGAGACAACTACCTATACTCAAGCACCTCTGCTTAAGTCGTCGTGTTATCTAGCACAACACTCTAGACCAGGGCGTCATACTATCTAGCATGGCGCCTCAGCACCAGGCACCATGAAGATGAGTCTCTTTTAAGATACTCCCTCCGTCCGGAAATACTTGTCGAAGAAATGCATAAAAATGAATGTATCTAGAACTAAAATACGTCTAGATACATCTATTCCTCCGACAAGTATTTCCGAACGGAGGGAGTATTTTGAGATTTGACTCACTTTGTGTTAGAAGTTCTAGAAGAAGAAAAAGTCAACTATGTGCATTTTCAAGTGGGCTGATACCCGATGGTGATCCGCCGCCCCCTCAGTAATCCGAAGAACTTGACCACTACATCCACTAGTCTCCCTGATTCCTCGCTTCTCCTGAACACCGAGCATTGCACCCGTTGGGCGTTGCTACAACGGCATCGTCATCGTCCATGTAGCTTATTTCCCCTCCTAGCAGTTAAAGGCATCTTCAACGCCGATCCTTAAAACGGACACACTATTTGTTAGTGGATCGGTTTAAACTAATGTTAGCCGGCCATCCAATCCTACACCTCAAATGTCCGTTTATTTTAAATTTAAAGAAACCTAGATTAGGGATGGCACCCGCCGGGTTTGGGTACGGGTGGAGCCACCCCATACCCTTACCCGTGACCCCAAACCTTACCCATCACCCGTACCCATACCCGTCAACGGGTACAATTTTTCCCCATACCCATCACCCGTCAGGGTAAATGGATACCCGCGGGTAAAATTACCCATATTTGCAACACATCAATTTGAGCATTACATAGTCACAAACAATAACTTATAATAATAATAATTTATAAAAAACAAAACTTCATTTGAATTTACACACAAGAACAACACTTCATTCGAACAGTTGCACTCTAAAACATTTGGATTTACACACAAGAATCCCTACAAGAACGCTCATGTGATAAATAACGCTGCTATTTTTTTAGAATTTCTGAAGCTAAATGAACAACTCGTCACTCTTGCTGCAGCAAAAGAATTCACGGTTCAGATAATCACTTTACACACGGAGTGCTCGTAGCTGTATCTCTGTGCAAAATAATGAATTACCAAAAAGAGGTGGATGCTGTGGTAACAATCGTTGAACACAAATAGTGCTCGTCACCATTTTGCTGCAGCAATAACCACGACATGATCCCTCTTTCTAAAACTTCATGGTTCAGTTCAGACTTAAGAAGCTCGCAATGACACACAGAAAGTCGTATTCATCACATCATCTATATACATCACGTCTACTCAGCAGAAATCAATGCTCATCTACATGAATGCATCACAGCATCTTGTACAGCAAATATCTCCAAACTATAAGATCGGTGCTCGTAATCGTAAAATCATAAAGAAAATCGATACTCTCCTAGCTGAAATAGCCATGCTCCTGTTCTTGTGCTTTGCGGCAGCAGATCGACCATTGCTAAGTAGGCTAGGGCGTACCTGCTTCACGGACGTCTTGGACATAGTGTTGCGATGGTGTTGCACCTTGGACCCTGGAGCATGAGGTGGAAGACCTTGACGTCAGCCGGGGAGTTGGCTCTTTCCTGGCGCGCGAGGAGGAAGGCACCATACAACGATAGGGTTGGGCTTGGGCTCGGTGTTGGCGTGTTGTGCTCCTCGCTGTGGTGGTCGCCGAGCTGCAGATCCTTGCGGTTCCCATCCACACGCGAGCTATCATCATCGTCCTCTGGGTCCATGGTGGTGGCGCGAGGCAGCAAGCGGCTGGAGTCGCTGGCGTTGGCGGCCGGCAGCGAGAGCCGAGAGCCCAAGAAGATGAGATCAATCTATTCTGCTGGGCGTTGGCTGCTACAAGCATGCGACTTAATTTTGGACGTCAATCACGCAATCACGTTGATATATAACCATAAAAGGAACGAGGCAATTCTGGACATCAATTACCTAGACACACGTACTATCATGTTTGGGATTCTGGACGTGGGATAGCTGCGGGATTTATGTCCACATAATGATACAATACATTTAATATGTGGATTTATAATATTTTAGGCCTATTTATCCAATTATACGTGGGTACATGGGTACACGGGTATGGGTTATACTAAACCATACCCGTACCCACCAAACCCGATGGGTTTCAAATTTTCCTATTTATGTACCCATGGGTATTTTTGTGATCCAAACCCTTGCCCTAATAGGGTTTTTACCCGCCGGGTACGCGGGTAATGGGTACCCATTGCCATCCCTAACCTAGATTAATGGTCTTCCGCCAATTTATGCATTTCGTTTAGTAGTCACGATAAATTGTGCACTTTGGTCTTAGTAGCCTTCCATCAAATTATGCATTTTGTTCAGTAGCTATGATTAGTACCTTCCGTCAAATTATGGACTTTGGTCTTAGTAGTCTTCCGCCAAATTGTAGCATGATTAGTAGCCTTATGTCATTTAGCACTTCGGGCTTGGTAGCATTTCGCCAAATTGTGGAGCAACATGATAAGTAGCCTTCCATCATTTAGCACTTTGGTCTTAGTAGCATTTCACCAAATTGTGGAGTAACATGATTAGTAACCTTCCGCAATTTGATGCTTTGGTCTTACTAGCCTCTAATAAATTGTGTGGGTTGATTAATAGTCTTTCCGTCCAATACATGCTAAACAACCCTCCGTCAAATGCATGCGCTAATCATTCTCTTTTCGCCAAATAATAACAACTTTCCGCCAAATCCCGCGCCAACGCAGTGGAGAGGCGGTACATGGTGGCTTTTTATTGGACAGGCGGATGTTTGGACTCTGGCAAAGCCCATTGATTTGCTTCCGATTTATGGGAACTCGACTTCGGACACGCGAAGGTGTTCGCGGACTGATGCGGCAATATGTTGGATATCTTACATCGCCCGAACACCTCGATTCAGACGTTTGCGGGCGTTTTGAGGATCCATGTTGGAGATGCCCTAACCCCCTCCCAACCTCGCCGATCTAATCTTGGGGTGCACCACCGCACCAAGAAGATTAGGCGCTTGCTTTTGTCATCCTTGTGCCGCAATCGCAATGGCGCAACTCGAGCACGACATCCTTTCTTTGTCGTCAAATACACATTGGTTCATCCTTTTCATTTTCACCAATTGGCTCTCTTGTCGTCAGGTATTCGAAACTAGGTCTCATGTCAGTATGTTTTGATAACCTTTTTCCATCAGTACTTGCCAGATTACTATCACTTGCTTGCCAGGTTATTAGTCATCTACTTCCTCTGTTCCTAAATATAAGTTTTTTTAGAGATTTCAATAAGAGACTATATACGAAGCAAAATGACTGAATCTACACTCTAAATATGTATATATACATCTGTATGTAGTTTGTATTGAAATCTTAAAAAAAGACTTATATCTAGGAACGGAGGGAGTACTTATCAGCTAAATTAGCTTGGTTGTCAAGTTATTGGAAGTCAATATATATCCGGACTCGAATGTTGGATTAGTTCTCGCATTTCATATGAGTTCTTACTCATACATTTGCATGTTGCTTGCCGTGCATGCTGGGAGAAGTATTTTCCTGTTGCAGTTTCAACTTCAGACTCTGTACACACTGTCTCTGTAGATGGAATATACTACATGTCAGACTTAATTTCAGAGAATTTGATTCAGCGTCTGAACCGAAAACGTGTTGCCGCGTAAATCATGACGATGGCAAGATTACGTAGCAGAGATCGCGCAACCAGAAATATGTGATCCCCAGCATTTGGTGTTGAAGGCCACGACGGATGGCTGCCGCGTTCTTCCCTCTGTCGACCTCACCGCCGCTCCTCACCCGCCGCCCCGCAGCAGGCCTCGAACGCATCCGCCGGCCGCCGCGCGGGCAGCATGGCGGCTGCTCCGCGCGCCGGTTGCCGGCAGCAGCGACCGCCGGCGCAACACGCGGCCTGACACGGAGAGCCACGGCTGCTGCTGCGGCGGCGGCCCAAGGCCGCGCTCTGGCCGGAGAGGGCGCGGAGGAGGGGTCGCTGCAGATGGTCCTGCTCAGCACCGCGGTGGCCGTGTGCGGTTCCTTCGAGTTCGGCACCTGTGTAAGTCTGCAGCGCTGCAGCCGCTCGCTCCATGTCTTATTACCAAGAGGCATCTATTCTGTAGGGTCATGGCTTCCGATGTGGTTATGATTGGGTGTATGATATGCAGGTTGGGTATTCTGCGCCGGCTCAGGCCGGAATCGTCGGCGACATTGGACTGTCCAATTCACAGGTTGGTTTGGCTGGCACAAAACCACCCGTCTTTTCCGTTGCGGTACATTGCTACTCCCTCTGTTCCGAATTACTTGTCTTGGATTTGTCTAGATACGGATGTATCTAGCACGAGATACATCCGTATCTAGACAAATCCAAGACAAGTAATTCGGAACGGAGGGAGTATATGTGATCGGTAATAGCAGTAGCAGCAACGCATGTGCACTTTCATATAGTATATATATATTATTTTTTTATCAAACGAGGAATGATGATGCTCGGCTTATGCTTGATCCAAAGAGGAATGCCATCAGTCAAACATTTCACTTTGTAATTTTCGAAGTGCTTGCCAAGGCAAGGGCAGCACCTCTGCCAATCCATAACTGAGGGAAAATGGGCGAGAACCAAATTACAGACACTCAAGACACAACAAGAAAAATTAGAGCTTGAAGGCAGGGTTTAGACAAAACCAGGCGAGGGCAGGAGGTCTGCCATTTCTATTGGAACTAAAGAAAGATATTGCTTGTAACAAAAGGCTCTGTTACATCTTTTTAGCAGATCAGAGAAACCACCATACAGCATGCAAAGCATGTCCAGATCAACTCCAACTTACATACAACCAGGCAAAGTATCAAGGCAAAAAAAAAAACAAATAGGGACTGCACGCAGGCAGCAAACTGAAAACACAGTGAAAACAAACACCACAACTGAAAACTGCTAACAACCAACGAGTTCAGAAAGCAACACCAGGCCTGGCTCTCTTTTAGCCGAAACTAGACGTTCTTGGCTTTCTTCAAGCTTCCAAACAGCAGTAATGAAAACAGGTTGAACCCCTCTAAAATTAATAATACTGTATAATGAACTACTAGTAGAGTATTGACCTACATTCTCCAGCTGCCAAATCAGCGAGTCAACCTCTACCAGTTCATACCATTTCTCCATCATGGCTGGGGCTGATGAGAAAGTAGATCTCCAGAGGTGAGTTTAAGTTGAGATCCATCCCAGGCAGCATCAACAGTTGTGTTTTTTTCATTGCACATAAGATACAAATCCCAAAATTGTACTGCTAGGGGGGATGAACCGAACCAAGTATCTTCCCAAAATCTCACTTTGGCTGGCCCCATCACCAATAAGGCAATAACCCATCTATAACTAAATTTCATGAATCTGATCACAGAAATAACCCCTTTACAAAAGACAGGTATTCACAGAAGAGATAGTAAAGATATTTGGTGAGTTAGTATTGTATTCGCTGTCAATGCTCCGTTAGATCCTGATGGTCATGATCTTCATTGCTTTAATAAATAAATTAATTGCGATTGATGATTACCCTTGTAGTATGGCATCTTTGCATCTGTCTTGACAGTTGGTGCAATGGTCGGCGCTCTGACCAGTGGCCGCCTTGCAGACACTCTTGGACGCAAAATGGTGAATTACTTTACCCAAACCATACTACGTGAATTGATGACTGGCATAGTCCTCACAATATATGTGCCATTTGCCTTTGCCACAGACCATGCGGCTGGCAGCAATTGTAGGCATTTTTGGTTGGCTTGCTATATACCTAGCCAAGGTATATACATTCCTTGCTCCATGAGCTAATTTCGTTTACAGATGTCGTTTGTTGTTTCAAGAGCTTGAAAAACTGCCTTCATGACATGAAGGGTGCAACGATGCTTTGCTTGGGACGAATCTTGCTAGGCTACTGTACAGGGGTCCTTTCTTATGTGGTGAGCATCTCCCTCTTAACTCTCAATACGCACCTGACTCTTCATGCTGTTTTGATCAAAAACTGTACTGTTTATTCGCCACTTGATCGACATAGTAGCATTCTACTGCACTAAACATTACCCACATGCACAGGTACCTGTGTTCATATCTGAAATAGCACCAAAGGATCTCCGAGGAGGCCTTGCAGCCTCAAACCAGGTTGGAGAGAGCTGGACAATGTGCACGAAATGTTAGAAATGGTTTGAAATTGACAGTTTCATCTGCAAGTGCAGCTGTTTATTTGTTCAGGGTGTTCAGCTTCCTACATCATTGGAGCAACGATTCCGTGGCGCTCTTTGGTTATCGTGGGTAATAAATAGTATCCATTATTATCTTACCTGCATATGGAATGGCATGACCATTGTCCAAGAAAAATCAGCACAACATTTGCATGTTTGTGCAGGATTACTGCCTTGTGTGTTCCTCCTCGTGGGTCTTCCCTTCATTCCCGAGTCTCCAAGGTGGCTGGTATGGTTGGTTGTAACTACTAACTTGGGTGTCACATGGTCGCATAATGGCAAATACTCCCACCGTCCCGAACTACTTGTCACAGAAATGAATGTACCTAAACGTATTTTTAGTTTTAGATACATCCATTTACATTCATTTCTGCGATAAGTAATTCGGGGCGGAGGGAGTATATGCAAGCGAATAATCGAATGTGAAACAGAACCTAATGAATAGCTAACCTTTACTGACGTTATCCCTCAAAAAAGTAAAACCTTTACTGAAGTTATAGATTATCATACTAGGTTTTCGTTATGAAGTTCATTCTTCAACAATATGACAGGCCAACATCGGGAGAGAGAAAGAATTCCGTGCTTCACTACAAAAGCTTAGGGGTGAAAAGGCTGAAATATCTGGAGAGGCTACTGAGATTATAGTTGGCTTCTACCCTAAGTTGCTCCATTTATCAACATATAATTTGGGGAAGAGGATATTCCAAAAAAACAATCTCTTATTCTTATGCAGGCGTACGTGGAATCAGTTCAGGATTTACCTAAGGCCAGGATTCAGGATTTGTTTCACAGGAAAAATATGTATGCAGTCATTGTAAGAACTAAGCAATTTCATCAACCTACTTCGTTTCCGAAAGATCTTATTTTTCATCATCATGAAAGAAGTTCTAGCTTTGATGTACAGGTGGGTGTCGGCCTGAAGGTCTTTCAGCAACTGGGGGGAATAAACGCATTAGGCTTCTATACAAGCTATATCTTTTCATCAGCAGGTATCCAAATGCTACCAAATTAATTGTGCCATTTTACTGATGAAGGAAACATTATCTAATTGTTCTTCCCCTAAACTTCAGGGTTTTCTGGTAAACTTGGGACCACATTGATCGGCATTATTCAGGTTCAGGATTGGCTATTCTCGTCAATAACTGTAACTCGCTTGCTGGCTGTATCAATTTCTATAACTATAATTATTTCAGATTCCAATCACATTACTTGGGGCCCTTCTCATGGATAGGAGTGGAAGAAGAACCCTTCTACTAGTATGGATACTTCAAAACTGAGCTGATGCACTTCCCTAAAAAGAAAGCTTCATTTTTTTTATATTCTTCTATTAATTAGGTGTCTTCATCTGGCACATTTGTGGGCTGCTTTCTTACTGGGCTATCATTCTACTTCAAGGTAACCGTAAACTTGTTTATTCCATGGGGCAGTCCAACTTAAAATTTGAACTGGAAATCATTTATTGATGCTAAGTTGCTAATATAAGCCATTACGAAATCTCGGGAAGAAACTTGCCACAGTTTTTAGAAGTTCTGGCTGGTCTTTTTGCTCGCCAATTTTTTGTCTCCTTCAACACTAAGTTGATTTGATCATCACATAGTTCGTATTTCTCAGACCGCGTCAATGGATGCGGACATGTCGAACTTAACAATCTGATAATAGTAGTGCCTGAATGCAAACATAAGGTAACCGCAGTTATTAAAGTTCCCAGCTAGTACGGAGTATTTGGCAATGGGACAAAAATACCAGACTGCACAAGCACTGACTTCCATGTATGAGGCTCTATTAAATAAACATGATTGAAGGGTGAAATATCAACAGATCGAGCAGATCAAATCGACAAAAATAAATAGTTGAACAAACGTGACCTGAATTTACATTTCAGAATGTTCGGTGCCTATCATTATACAGAGTATTGACTTTCTATCTTTTCATGATCACAGGCACAAGGATTGTACACACAATTGGTTCCTACATTGGCTCTTTACGGCATACTGGTACAGAAATTACGTAACTAAAACATCAATAATTTTGTGTGATCCCAATGTAAAAATGAAAAATTGTGTACCTAGTTCATCACCACCTAGACATCTAAGATGGCAATTTTTGCTGGCATAACATGTCTGAACTCCAGATATGTAAATTCTGACTCCTTACTGAATAGGCATACTATGTGGCATACTCAATTGGAATGGGACCTGTTCCTTGGGTTATCATGTCCGAGGTATGATATATCACCATGAAGTTAATTAGGGATGATGCTCGCATTCCTGGTAATCTGTAAGGAGCCCACGTTTGTAACTGACGACATCTCATTGTTTATTGGCAAAGATATTCTCAATCAACATGAAAGGAATAGCAGGAAGCTTGGTAACCCTGGTTAGTTGGGTTGGTTCATTCGTGATATCGTATTCGTTCAGCTTCCTTATGGACTGGAACTCTGCAGGTAAGCATGTTCAACCCTAGTATAAGTAGGACAGTTGAAAAGAAAGTAGAATATCCACCATTACCCACTCATGTGATAGCCGAATAATAGCCCATTAGCAAAAATATGTTTGGAAAGGAGTTATCGCCAAGGTTTGTATATCTTTTTCTACAAAAGTATATGTTGCTTCGTTTCTCCCATGAGCTTTGGTTCCACTTACCACTCAATAGTTCTCCAGTAAATGTTTTTCCTTCAGTTTGTTTTTATTTCTATGTGTAGGCACATTTTTCTTGTTCTCAGCAGCGAGCCTGGTTACTGTGTTGTTCGTGGCAAGGCTAGTGCCAGAAACTAAAGGGAGAACACTCGAAGAGATCCAAGAATCACTAATGGCCGGCACATGACATGTTAAGAGGGAGCACTATGTATGGCTGGCACGGCCATTACAAATTTATGTCTACAGATCTGAGAAAAATAACTGATACCTTTGTGTTGTAAATTCCCGTGTACCTCTTGTTAATCATTAGATTGCTTGGTCATAAGTGTCGAACTATCAATCAATTCCAGACAGATCTGTGTCAGATGATCTAATTTGGTTTGGTCGTGACAAAAAAATTAGCATGATATCCTGACACTAGCCTTTTGCGCGCATCAACGAATATGAACACATCAGAGCATCTTTTGTGCGCACAAATTTGCTTTGCTGGATGGCAGAGTTCATGTATTGGTTGAATGTCATTGGACGATGAAGCAAATTGCATGCTAGCATGAGTTCATGTGCTTTCTGGTGGACTATATATCCAAGTATTTCTTGCAAAGAATCAAAAAGAAAGGGCCAAAAGATGATATCATTCAGAACCAAACTTAGAATGACACGAGGCTGTTACCATCAAAATTTGACACCGCAGTGCCAAAAAAACTCCGAGTAAACAACGAACAAACCCAACTCTGAGCAGAACAGGATTCTAAACTTAAATGTAGACTCATTCATAGGTGAGAATTAGGTACCAGTATTTGTGTTCAGGTTTTCAACTGCTTCGGTGAGTGATGTACTCTACACTCCATAATCAATCAGGTACCAGTAGTATTTGTGGTATCCAACAATTTAACCTGGTTCATGCTTGCTTCATGCTTACTACTTTCCTCCTTTATGACCCGCTTGAAGTTCCCGAGCTCAGGAGAGTCCTGGCCATACACCATCTTGATGTTATCCACGCAAGCACTGCAAATGACAAGCAGCAGATAAATCAACTCAGCATCGCGAAGAACTAAGATACACGAACAACAACACAAGAGGCAGCAAACCTGCAGGCTTCCCTGTTGAATTTGCTGCGTGGCACGCCAAAGAACTCTTCGAAGACCTTCGGTTCGACCCGGCAGAAGAATGGCCGGTCTACAATGCCAAAAAAAATCAGCCATAACAGCGTCAGTTACTTACACATGTGCACTGTGATGAAGACTAGAACATGACTCGTTCTGTAAAGAAACGAGCACCTTCGTAGATGTTGCAGGTTCGGTTGGACTTGTCGTAGTTGTTACACCATCCATCGGGGCCAATCATGCTCTTGTACAGCTGCAAGCATGGTCAGCAATTCAGCATGCTCCATCATAAATGAACCGAAATTTTGCATCTATCTATCAAACAACAACCAGCCTTTTTGTAGTACAGTATGTTCATAGACGATACAGCAGAAATGCTGCCGCCATTGGTACCGAAGTCTACCTGGAGGTGGTCGGGGAAGTCGGCGAAGACCTCGTCGGGGGTGGGGAACTCGGGGCCCTTGTCCAGCTTGCAGCAGGCGCCGCACCCCGTCGCGCAGCGCCACCGCACCACCCGCTTCGGCTTCTCCGGCGGCTGCTTCCTCAGCTCAATCTCCTGGCCCGATGGCCATTGCGCCTCTTCCGTAGCCGGGCGGGCCTTCCTGTCCTTGGCCGGCCTCGCGCTGGGCTTCTTGTTGCTGGGGATCTCAGAGGGCTGGGGCTGGGGCTTGGCATCGCCCCGCCGCTGGCCCTTCCTCCGCTTCCCACCCGATGGTGGTCCTGATGAGGAGGACGCGAGACCGGCGACGGCGACCGGCAGGAGGCCGGGTCTCCTCCTGGCGCCGGCGACGACCGCGGACGCCGCCCTGGCGCCGGCGGCCCGCAACATGAGCATCCTCTCCTCTGCTTCAACACAAGAACCTCGCTTATCCCCTCCCTGCCTGCCCTTCCTCAAGTTGGCTTGACAACACCCTGCGACTGGGCTCGCGCGGCCCAATTTGGGCATGCCTAGGCCCGCGTGGTAAATGCTATACGTGGCCCAGCTTGATTCACACCCTTCCGAAGCTGAAAGGTGGATGCCGCGAAGAACAGGTAGAAAAGGAGCTGTGGCTGGCTCATGGAAATCAAGTTTCGGTGAAAACCGAAACAAACCATGTGAAAATGATGTTTTGAAGTTTCAAAAAATCTCACAAACATATTGGATTTTAAGAGTGTGATGTTCTATCAGCATGTGAAATTCCCAAGTTCAAACACATTACCACTTGCGAGCTACGAAAAGAACAAATTCAACAATGAATAGTGGCGTTCAATGCTGATTTTGTACTATTTGTACCTCGCAAGTGGTAGTGTGTTTGAACCTGGGAATTTCACATGCTGATAGAACATCACCATCTTAACATACAAAAAAAAAATCAGATTTTTTTTCAAAACTTCCAAATATGGTTCCCACAAAGTTTTCTTTGAAACTTGGTTTCCATGTGATATTCTCTCATGGCTAGGATGCCGAAACACTCAAAGCTTTAGTTCCTCGTCAGGCCTTATCATTGGCAAGAAAGACTAGAGCGGCGAGCGATTGCCTGAATGTTGTCAAGTCAATACATGATCAATCAGGAGGTGGGTATGCGAAAGTAGTAGGTGAAATCATAGCTCCAACTGCAGATTTTGAAGGTACCTCTTTTGTGCATGAGAGGAGAGGTTCAAACAAGGAACCAACCGGCTAGCTCGGAGTCATAAAATGGCTAGAAGAATCAACTCAACAATATTGTCGAAAATGAAAAGAACCAAACACTACATATATCTGAAATATGGCACCGCCGTTAAATCAAGTACGAAAACATCACAAATTCAGTGCAAATTCACGTACATCTCTTGGTTTGAGTTTGGTTAGTCACGTACACCAGTTTGCCAATGCCAAAACAAACAGGATCACCAGTTCACCAGTCTCTGCTAGCAAGAAAGGTACACCAAAACCAGATTGAACCGAGGGTGTAGCACCCACTGTGTGTCTTCTACCCTACCAGTAAAAGGGAAAACAGCACAAACACTTACTCACTTTGCTCGATTGCTTGTGTCTCTGCCTCCTTCACCGCAAGGGGTTCATACCAGGCAGGCCCAAATCCAGCTGCTTTCCTGGCTTCCGCATTGAAGGGGGGCTTCAGGGGTCCACGGAAATGCTCTCTAACGATGCTGTGGAACCTCTCAATGATTGCCATTTCATCGGTGTCCCCATTTTCGCCTAGGCCACACCGTGCCAGTCCGTCCTCCGCTTGTTGAATCGTCTCATCGCGGCTATTAATATCTTCTGTCGGCTTATCCGCCAATCCATCATGCACCGCTTGAGAAGTCTTACTATCATCACCTGTCCTACCTTCTGGCAGCTCAGCAGAGCATTGGGGTTTAGGCTGCGGAACTGGAGGTGCAATTGGATCGCTGGCGAGGGACCGGAGGCACAGGTATCTAAACCACCTAACACCAGCTGCACAGTGTGTTATCTCTTCTGGATAAATAATATCTTCGAGTAGTTTGGCTGTTTCTTCATCCCCACCAGCACGGAATCTTGATATGGTGGTTGGAAGGACATCTAATCCCCTAGCCTGTGTTCCAAATGGGCATTTATCAGACATAAATATGTGTGTACATATGGTTGATCAGAGTTTATCACATGCAGAAAACAAATGATATTGGCATACTATTATGCATAATAGATACTCCCTCCGTTCGGAATTACTTGTCGCGGAAATGGATGTATCTAGATGTATTTTAGTTCTAGATACATCCATTTCCGAGACAAGTAATTCCGAACGGAGGGAGCACATGCCAATTGTTCTCATCACTCCACAAAATTACAGGTATGTAAAGATGAGGATAGCTTAACTGAACACATTGATAGACAGTTACCGCAATTACACAAAGGAACATCTGGTGGATAGTTTACTAAAAGAAAGCAACTCAAGTCCAACATTGCAACACATTTTTCAGCTTGGTTCTAATTTTACTGAAGAAATTGCTTTTCAAGGATTGCTAGTTTCTCTGGAGTAAATTATGGACACCCCAACAGTCCAAAATCTTGATTTACGAAGAACATAAGGTTGGTCTGATACCATTGGCCATAACCCAAAGCTCAGATACCACGTCAAAGTGCAAATGTCACAATTAATATGCAGTTTATGAACCAATCAGAAGTGAAATATAAGAAAGAAGGAAAATGCAAAGCATATCAACTAGTTCTTATTTTTTGGTTATTAGAAGAGTCAGTTGACATATTTCATTACAGGCATTCCTCATGGTTACCCCCCACCTGAAATCAGGGGGGGAGAGATTAGATGCTTTGTGATTTGTGAATGGCACATGTCATTCATCAGGGCGGGTCTCACCTGATTTATATAAGACCTGGTCTCATATAATTTTTCCCCTCCCCAAGCTGGCTTCTTACATCTTCATTTAGATACATGAGAATAGTACTTGTTAGACTGTATATGGATACGTAGACTTGTGTATACGTGTTGTACTTGTACTTGTACCCTTTGGTACTTATATATAATGAGATAGCCGCACCCCCCAAGGGTGTCGAGCAGTTGCCCCAATATGCTCCTGTGTTGCTCCCTAACCATGCTGCAGGTGTTGGCCGTGGCGCTCGTCTCGAGCTCCTTGAAGAACAAGCACCGGCGCGTCCGGAGGACGATCGCGTACATGGGGCATGCATATCGGGCGGCACACCGCAACCCGCACGAGCTGCGCCCGCGGCTGCCTCGCGGGCATCGCCCGAGTCGCCCGCCTCGTGGGAGTTGCCCGAGCTGGCCTCGCAGGAGGTTGCTCCTGGGCCAGCCACGCCAGGCTCACCTGGGCCGGTTTCGGCTCCCGATGGGCCGGCCACCCCAGGCTCGCCTGCTTCTTCGGCGCTTAGCGGCTCCGGCGTGGGCCTGGGCGACGTGGCCGTGTCGGGCGCCACACCGCCCGCCTCCCCGACGCCCAGTGGCTCCGGCGCGAGCCCTGGCGACTCGGGGTCGCCTTCTTCGTCGCCTGCATCATGCCCTGCGTCGTCACCACAACCTGTTGCTCCTCGACATCGCACGCGCAGTCAGACCGGTGTCTTTCAGCCTAAGATCCGGACCGATGGGACTGTTGCGTGGCTCGCCACGTGCATGGCTCATGCTGCTGCGGATCCCACTGCTGAGCCTCGCCACTTTCAGGCTGCACTAGGCATTCCCCACTGGCGTGCCGCGATGGAACAGGAGTTTCAAGCATTGCTGAAGAATGACACCTGGCAGCTTGTTCCTCCAGTGTCTGGGGTCAATATCATTGACTCTAAGTGGGTGTTTAAAGTTAAACGGCATGCTGATGGCTCCATTGAGCGTTACAAGGCAAGGTTAGTGGCTAAGGGCTTCAAACAGAGGTATGGTCTTGACTATGAAGACACGTTCAGTCCAGTTATCAAGCCTACTACCATTCGTCTGCTACTATCCCTTGCTGTTACTTGAGGATGGTTTCTCCGTCAGCTTGATGTGCAGAACGCTTTTTTGCATGGAGTTCTGGAGGAGGAGGTTTATATGCGTCAGCCACCAGGGTTTGTGGATCCTGCACGTCCTAATCATCTCTGTCGTCTTTTTAAGGCGCTCTATGGTCTTAAGCAGGCTCCCCGTGCCTGGCATGCACGTCTTGGTTCGGTTTTGCGAGCACTTGGGTTCATTCCTTCTACTGCTGACACATCGCTGTTCCTTCTTCAACGCCCTGAGGTTACGATGTATTTACTGGTCTATGTTGATGATATTATTCTCATCAGTTCCTCAGATGCTGCGGCAGACCGCCTTGTGGCTGCATTGAGTGGTGATTTTGCTGTTAAGGATCTCGGTGCTCTGCACTTCTTCCTTGGTCTGGAGGTGTCACGGTCTTCTGCTGGAGTCACTCTTACTCAGAAGAAGTACGCTCTGGATTTGTTGCGTCGTGCTGGTATGCTGCAGTGCAAACCTGTCGCTACTCCTATGTCTGCCACTGATCGGTTGTCTGCTTTTGATGGTGATCCTCTCTCCTCTGATGATGCCACTGAGTACCGCAGTCTTGTTGGAGGCCTGCAGTATCTTACTATCACCAGACCAGATGTCTCTTATGCAGTCAATCGTGTCTGTCAGTTTCTTCATGCGCCCACGACATCCCATTGGTCCGTTGTGAAGCGCATTCTGCGATATATATGCCTCACTGCATCTCATGGTTTGCTTCTCCAGCGTGCGCCGTCTTATGAGATCTCGGCCTTCTCTGATGCTGACTGGGCTGGTAGTCCTGATGACCGGCGATCCACAGGGGGGTATGCAGTGTTTCTTGGTCCCAACTTGATTGCCTGGAATGCTCGCAAGCAGGCTACGGTGTCTCGCAGCAGCACAGAAGCCGAGTACAAAGCAGTTGCTGATGCGACAGCTGAGATCATTTGGGTTCAGTCCTTGCTGAGGGAGTTGCGAGTTCCTTCAGTTCACTCTCTAGTGCTTTGGTGTGATAACATTGGTGCTACATACTTATCATCTAACCCAGTGTTTCATGCTCGAACAAAACATATTGAGGTTGACTATCACTTTGTTCGAGAGCGTGTTGCACAGAAGCTGCTTAGCATCAAGTTCATATCATCAAAGGATCAACTTGCTGACATCTTCACAAAGCCTCTTCCACAACCACAGTTTGTAGGCTGCAGGCGCAATCTTAACTTAGTTTGTACTTCAGGCCACAGTTAAGATTGAGGGAGGGTGTTAGACTGTATATGGATACGTAGACTTGTGTATACGTGTTCTACTTGTACTTGTACCCTTTGGTACTTATATATAATGAGATAGCCGCACCCCCCAAGGGTGTCGAGCAGTTGCCCCAATATTCTAGTTTTACAGTACTAACCCCTTTGAATGATCCATATTAATTGTCGCTGATTTAGTACAAATTATCGGAGGGAGTGGTAAAATTTATTCTCTCTGGATACTCTACAAAATTAGAAGGTTTTTCAGAAATAAAATTTGAAGGTTCTGTTCATACTACCCCAGGAAATTGCGAGTTAGTTCAGTTCATTCGTTTCAATCGTAATTCTAACATTTTCCTTATCAGAAGAAGAGCCATTACCAACCATTAATTGGTCCCTAAGTTACCACGGGTAGCTAATTTTCTTGCATTGAGAACACAAGAAGATACAGATGGTTCATAATCCTTACACTGGACTGGACCAGTTCCTCGTGATAAACAACACAAGTCAGAAACTAGTTCTCTTGCAAGCTTCCAAGTTTCAAGTAGAACACTAGTCTTCAAAACTGTACAATTTTAGGCAACCAACCATAAATGAAGAAAGTGAAATGATGATTGATTTAGCATCTGAATTTCACAAAATCAATGATGTTTAAGCTTTCAAGGCTTTGGCTGCTTAAGCCTACAATGGCGAAGTCGTGTAGAAAGCCTCTAGCTCAATGCATCGTGTCAATTTGGGCATCGCTAGGCGAATTTTATTGTCCTCAATTCCTCATGCTAATGGAAAATAAAGAGGTAGGGCAGCGCTGCTCACCTCGTGGACGCAGTGCTCGACGGCTAGGCGGGCGAGGAGGCAGTGCGAGGTGCGCATCGCCGAGTCCCAGAGGCCGTCGTGCGCGGGGAGCGCGCCGTAGTGCGACCCCAGCTCCCGAAGCCGCGCGGAGAGCACCGCGAAGTGCCGCCCTTCGTCCTGCGCGACCCGGGCGAAGTCGTCGAAGAAGCCGCGGGGCATGCGGAGCTGCGCGCCGAAGCGGGCGACGATGTCCCAGGAGAGGTCGACGGCCCAGCTCTCGATGTGCGCCAGCGAGTGCAGCATCGCCAGCCGGCTCTGCGCGCTGCCGCCCTTCCCCAGCTTCGGCGCCTGGGAGGGCGGGAGCAGCCGCACCGCGTCGCTCCGCGCCGGGCGGTCCGGCGGGGCGCGCGCGGGCTGCGCCGGGTCGTAGGGCAGCGGGATGGCGCCGCGGAGCCACTTGGTGGCGGCGAGGTCGCCCAGCCGGGCCTTTTCGTCGGGGTCGGCCGTGTCGAGGATCTTCAGCGCCCAGTCAACCAGCGTCTTGGGCGGCGCCTGCCCGCCCGCTTTGTCGACGACGACCGCTCCACCGGCACCGCCCGCGGCGTCCATCTGAGCGATTCTGCAGCCCGCACGACGGGGGCTGGGTGCCGGAGTTTAGCTGGAAACGGCGGCGGCGGCGGCGGCGACTGGTGGGTGGGTGGGAGGACTGCTGGTGGGCCGTCTGATGAAGGATGGACAGGACCAGCAGACATATTCCGAAATCACTAATTGAGGAGCGCTCTCCGCAACGATTAGTCGGGAAGGGCTCCCCGCGCGCCAAGTGTCATGCACGTAGCGGTCCTCAGACTTTTCCGATGCGCTCCGTGCACGATACTTGGCGCGCGCACGGCTTCTCCCGTGATTTCCGGTTTCCCTTTATGGTTTTTTCTTTTTTTCACTTTAGTCCTTATACTTTTAATGTTTTGTAATACCTTTTTTGATCTGTTTTGAGATCTGTTTTTCTTTGGGCGAACCCTCGTCGCGCACTGTTCTTTCTTTGCCGTCGTCTCCGCCCGTCGCCGCCGCCGCTCTTGTCTCGTGGTTACGGCGGCAGCTGTTCCGACCGCCGCGCTTGTTGCCTGCTCTTACGGCGGTCCTTCTCTAGCGTCGAGCGTGCTTCCTCCTTGGCGATATTGTCGTTCCCTATTGGTTGCCTTCGTGAGTTCCCTGTTTTCCTTTCACGTTTCTCTTTTTGTTCCCATTATATTTCCGGGATATGGAGATTTATGGGGTAGTTACGGGTGGGGACTACCAACACTATCAGATGTCAAGTTTCAACTGGGTTTTGTGGGATTAGTTCTTGAAAACCATTGTGTTCCTTGCAGTTATGGCTTGTCCTTTTTGCCGTATGCCTGTTGGCCCGTGTTCTTCTGTTGATTCTTCTGTAGCTGGGTTCAGTGTGGTCCTGGATCGATGTTGTTGGAGGCGTGTTGTAAGAAAATCATTTTATAGTTGTTCAATTTTTTGCACACACGCTTATTTCTTTTGGTGCTGCCCATGCTGTTTAGATTTTGATTATGATCCTTGTTTTGATTTGTTTTGCAGTATGTTCCATGCAGTGTTAGAGCTCATCTTGCTTGTTACATCGAGGAGTGTAGGGCTTTAGCCATAAGAAGGGGTGACGAAGATACTGATCTTGCTCTTCAGTGCAATGAGGGTTATTTGTATGGTGTTCTGTTTAGTCATGGTCGGGTGATGAGCAAATTCCATGGTCCTTCCTGGGAACGATTGGTCAGTGATTATGGTGTTCGTCCTCGTGATATAATGACCATTAGGCTTGAACATTATGGAACTTGGATTGGTATTGATTTTTATCGTGTTGGTCATGGAGATGCATTGTCTCCTTTACCGTCTGTTGGTAAGGTTTATTTTTAATGAAGTTTTTATCTTGTTTTATTGTACATTTTGATTTTTCTGTTCCCTTGAGCCTATGTAATTATATTTTGTAGCTCTACATGGTTTGAGCTACACCGAGAAGAAACTTGTTGGGAGTTGTTATTACACCCGTGGTGTTTTTCTTAATTATCAGCAGATGTATTTCATGAGGTGTCAACTATTTGATGATGAGTACATACCCTGCTGTCCTTTTGTTCACAGGATTGATCCAATGGATGTTAATGGTCATCATATGGTCAGATTTTTTTCCCATTGTTTTTTCTTTGTTTCTGTTTATTTATTTATTTTTATTACTTCTTCTACTTATAGTTTTGAATTTTTATTCCATTTTTGATAGCTTGATGTTTTTTGTCAAGTTATTCCTAGTATTGTTGTGAGGAGTTTGAAGGAGTTTGTGACTTTTCCTAGAACTGGCATTTTAACTCTTGAAGTTACTCTGGAATCTGGTGATGATGATATATATGTGAGCACTCCTTGCTCCTACTTCATTGGTTTGGGTAATAGAATGGTGTTCAAAGAGGAAGGTTTCAGTAATTTTCTGCAAGCATCGTCTATTGAAATAAACAGCTTGGTGCTGATAACTTTCAAACAGCGTGTTGGGAGGCTTGTTGTTATCTTCAATCTTCTGTCACAGTGATGTCAGTTATAGCCTTTGAACATAATGGATTTTGTTTAAATATCTATGTTGTATAAGAGGCTTGGTTGTGCATCTCTTTTAAAGATGTTTTTTCGGACAGATGTTATTTAATTATGGTCATAGTTATAAATACAGTAGAGGCACGTGTGTTGTTTACTCTGAGGCATGGCTGTGCATCTCTTTTATGTGAGAGGCTTCTGGATTTAGCAAACGGAGGCACGTAATTGAAGTAAGAACAGGCACGGTTGTGTGGAGGCACGTGGAGTTACTGTGGGTTTCATGTGAGGCACGTGGTTTGAGCTAACATGGAATTGCAGTCAGTACAGGCACGGTTGTTTGGAACACGAGTATACTAAGAGGAACGTGTGTGCAATACCAAAGTTACATGGGTGATGACGCGTGCCGAACACGTAGAGATACTGTGGGTTTCATGCGAGAGGCATGTGTGTGTATAGCACGTAGAGTTGCAGTGGGTTTCATGTGAGGCACGTGGATTGAGTAAATGGAGGCACGTAATTGAAGTCAGTACAGGCACGGTTGTGCGGAGGCACGGGCGATCACTCGCGCGGAGCACGCAGAGTTACTGTGGGTTTCATGTGAGGCACGTCGATCGAGCAAACGGGGGCACCGAAGTGCAGTCAGTTGTGGATGCACAGCTGTGAAGTCTCTAGGGTCATGGGTGCGTGGCACCAGAGGCATGGGTTGAGTTGACACTTAGAGAGCCACGGTTGTACATGGGTCAGTTGGACACGGTAGTGTAGTTTTGTGGCATCATGGAGAATTGGTGTACGGTGAGGAACAAAAGTGAGTTACTGTGGGTTTCATGTGAGGCACGTGGATTGAGCAGACAGAGACATGGAATTGCAGTCAGTACAGGCACGGTTGCTTGGAACACAGGTATACTGAGAGGAACGTGTGTGCAGCACCAAAGTTACATGGGCGATGACGCGTGCCGAACACGTAGAGATACTTTGGGTTTCATGCGAGAGGCACGTGTGTGTGTAGCACGTAGAGTTACAGTGGGTTTCATGTGAGGCACGTGGATTCAGCAAAAGAAGGCACGAAATTGAAGCTAGAACAGGCACGGCTGTGTGGAGGCACGTGTATACTAAGATTAAGTGTGAGAGTTGCTGTGAGAGTATTGTGTTAGTGACGGTTGTGTTTCTGTGTTCCAATTATTGTGGTGGTGCTTTGATTTTGAAAGGCATTGCCGTGAAGGTATTGGATGCATTGTCGTATGTTTGGCAGAGGCGTTATCCTTCCTTTGGGTACTAAATTCGGAGAGGCACTGCGTTATGTTAGTATGAGTCACTGTCAAGGTTGTATGTTCTATAATATTTCTAGTTAGTCTGGCTAGTGAATTCATGTCTGTCTAGTTAGTGGAGGCATGTCCTATGTTATGTTGAGTCAGAGTTATGTGTGTCATTCGCAAATGCTTTCTCTGGCACGTTTGTTCGGAGAGACATGTATACGCTGTTATTCGAAGGCATGGTCGTGTCTTTCTTTCGAAACGTTTGCTTTCACTTACTTGCTGAGAGAGACTTGTCGGTGAAACTTGTGAGGTCACGGACCTTTTTCGGTTGAAGTCACAGTCGTGCTTCCATCACTCGTTGGCTTGGTAGAGGGACCGGTGTTAAGCTATCGAGGGGGCGGTCCTGTGTTAATTGGTGGCGCACTTGTGTGTGTCAGGTTAGTTGTCCGTGTTAAGAATGGCACGTTCTACGTGGATAAGAGGCATGACAGTGCCTCTGTGACCAGCATTACTGGAGGTGAGTAATTTAGTTGCTTTGTCAGATGCTTACGAATCGATAGTGTTTTTCCTCTGTGTTCCACTTGTTTCTTTTTTATGTCTAGTCGAAGTGAGTGGTGTTCTAGTGCAAGGAATTGATGTCTTGAATATGATGTTTACAACTTTTCAAAAAAATACGATTTTTATTTTCGAAAAAATACGATGTTAGGAATTTAAGACTTGACCATTTGAATGCACAACTGTGGTTAATGCGATCCATAGCAGATATCTTGGACCGACAAAAAAAACTGCTGGAACACTATTTGTGATTACATGAGTCGATATGGCTGAAACAATGTTTGGATGTCTCCGGCTAAATTAAGGCACAGTTAAGCAGTAGTCATCTTCTTCCAACTCTTCTTCTTTCGCGCCGGATATTGTGTTTGTCGAGGACAATGCTCAGTGCCTCAAATACATGGCCTGTGTTGTAGTTGGATGTTATCATTTTGAAAGTTAGTTGTTCTCTCATCGGTTTCACATGGATCTGCAAAACACATAACCGCACAAACTAATAAAATTTATTGTAAAACATACTTTACAGCTGGCTTGGATGAACGTATGTTGATGTGTTTGTCAATGAGAGTGAACTTACTTTATTGATAAAAAATGAATTATTATTCAAATTAATGAGCAGCATCAAATGCATGGTGTAAATAGCATTGTCATCCCTGAAAATTGAGAGCATTAATGCTAGTGATTAGAAGGTGAAGAGTAGATATGGGATGTGTAGTGGAACAAAAAAATGCATGGTTTAAATGAGGTAGAGCTACAGTTAAAAGAAACTCACTCTCTATCTGAGTTACATACACTCTGCACAGGTTTGACATGAAAGGAGGCCATAGTGTGAGGATGGTTGTTGTAAGCAGAATGGTAAGCTCTCTTGAAGTTTTCGATGACAATGTCCGAGTGTTCCTTTATACCGTCGCAATTGATATAAGGACACAGAATTTCGAAGCGATGCATTGCAAGATTCACGATGATGAGGTAGATAAAATGTGGTTCCTTTCTCACAGGTATTAAGACCTAAAATAATTAACAGGGAATAATATCATTGTAACAAGAAAAACTGGTAGAATCAAAGACGAACACTGGACAGTTAGAGTGAGTAGGGTGAACTCACGATGTTACATTTGTTGGGCAGCCTGTACCCAATAGTTTTTTCCGCGATGTGTTCCTTGAGTAGTTCAATGCTTGCTTCTAGAACTTGAAATTTATCCTGCAGAAAATTGAAGTTGTGTCACTGAGTGT